TAGAGAAGTAGCATACATCTAATGTGGACCGCCATGAACAAAATTAGGTCGTATCGATAACGTGGGTGCATGTATATATATATATATAAATGTGTAAATGCATTTGCGAGGAATATTACAAAAGAAAAAAAAAAGGTGATAAAACATGGGGACAACTGGTATTAGACCATGTGGTTACATATGTAGAATCGGAGTGAATAGCTTTTGATATTATCTTGTTCTCCAATCGACCGTGTAGAAAGATTGAGATTCCAAACTTTACTCGTGTCTGCTAAATTAAACTAGGATGACACGAGCCTAGGGTGATGCCTATGTCGAGGAGTTGCATTTAGGCTTCAACTCAAATTATCCTTTTCTTATTTGTCTCGATTTGGAATAATCTTTTGCTGCTTCGTTCTTGGAACATTATCTGTTTGGCTTTATCGAGTTATTTTTTCTTAGGCTTACGATAAAGATGATTACTCTCGTAGAATATAGATTGAATGACAAATCTATCATAATCTGATAAAAATTTGGTGCTCGTGGCAAGAATAGCTCGAGTACTCGTATGGAAGATCGTTTGTTTTTGTTAGCTAAAAATGAATTGATATGATGAAAGATGCAAAGGTGAAGCATATGCTTACAACTCTCAATATAATGTGTTGGTACCAAACCTCTCCTCCTCCACTTATTTTCTTCTTCTTTTTACATCAAACTTTTGAAATTCCCATGAGCCTTCAAATTTACACTTTTTTTCTTCTCATCGGCCTAACTTCATCTCTCGTACATTCATCTAAGTTTCAATTAAATGTGCCGATGTTTTTAACTGATTACTACTCAAAATTCAATACCTTCGATAGAATGTTAAATTTTTTAGGGTTTCGTTCATAGAGTTTGAAGATTTGAGTGATTCACCCCATTTTAGGATTTCGCTCGTGGAATGAGCGAGACATGAAATTATGGTACAATAAGTTTGACCGCCTTCTTGTTTGTGATATCTGGTCTACTTGTAAGTTTTATTGGGTATGCCTTATATATTGCTTTTGGGCAACCGTCTCCATAACTAAGAGATCCATTCGAGGAACACAGAGACTTGTTGAAGTACTGAGCCTCACAGTAATGAGGTCGGAATGCGGTAGGGTCTTCAAACACCACGCTCGATTCTCGAGATTCATGGGCTGTCTAGCGAAGATCTTCGATTGGAACCTTTGCATCAACTTTCTGTTAGAGTCTCAACCACGTCTTTGTTATCGTAAGAATATATTTTTACTGAGTACACTAGATTCATTCCTTTTAGTTTCGAAATCCTAATGACCATTTTTAATACAGTAATCATATCAACAACTATAGACTCAGAAGATTGTATCACTACCGTATCTGCACAACCTAGACTCCCATATGAGATGATAGAACATGCAATTCAAAAATTTTCTTTCTTTCAAATCTTTGGGGAGACCTAATTCACGAAGTCTTCACAGGAAATCCCTGTCCCGACCTTCTAAAATAAAATGGAGAATCTCAAACGATTGGGAGGATGAAATTGGAAAGTGGAATAGAAAAGTCATTCCCGTCTTCAACCCATGGATGTCCCTATCTCTAACTTGATAGCAAACTCGATCGCTATCGCTATCGAGCGATGAATTGTTGGTGAAACACGTAGTAGAATTAATACTCAATAAAAGATGGATGGTCATAGATTCAAATGAGGGCGGCATGGGAGGATTCCATGATTGTTATCTCTAGGATATTCTAATTTGTGACAATAATAAAACCATTTTAATTCCAATTTTAATTCCAATCAAAGTCCTCCAATATATTCTTGAAATATATTATTTCTAGAGACCCAAATCCCAATTCAACATAGGAATCCAATTCCCTTACATTATTATTATAATTAAAACTCGTTTTATTTAAATAAAATATTAGTGAGAATATGTCAGACACGAATTAGTTTATCCTTAATCCATGATCTGAATCTTCCAAATTGAGGGCCGGTCAAAGATTAAATCAAAACAGGATATTGTAATCCATATTTCCGATTAATGATTACTCTGCTCGTGTTACCAAACACCATCCATTTTAAATAGATGATCGGTCGAGTCGTAATATGAGCTGACATAGTTAAGTGATTGGTCTAGGTTAAATTTACTCTCGCTCGAGTTTTACTTACGATCAATGTGAAACTATGTTCATATCTCTAACCCGAGTGCTCGTTTTTTTTTTTTTTTTTTGGTTGAAATAAGTAATTAAATAAAGAGGTAGGAGAGAGAGAGAGAAAAGTTGGCAAGTGGTGAGAGGAATAGAAAAGAGTTGAATTAAGAAGGAAAAAATAAAACAAATAATAGAATGGAACAAATGCTCACTTAGGTTCATTAAATCAATTATTTTGTTCTTCAATACTCTCTCTCTCTCTCTATATATATATATTTTGGAATTTCAAATTCTTTTTGAAAATAAGTCGCCACAATAACATTCATTTAAAGTATTTAAAAAACGATGTCATGGTTAAATGTTCGTAATAAATGTTTTAAAATAAAACAACAAAAAATAAAAACGTGAAATTTAAATAAAACAAAGACAAGAATAAAGTAATGCGCTGATCACCCCTAAGTGCTTCAAAATAATGCAATAATCCTATGGCGGGTTCTAAGGTACTCATCGCAAACCCGTCATTTGTATAAGGGTGTCTTATTTTTACTTGAAAAACAAGAGTAGGACGTAGTTTGAGTATTTTGAGAAATACCCAATAAGTAATCTCACTGTTAGAGCTGAGAAATGCAAACACATGTAGTATGGTTTTAGGTAGCTTTTCCGTACGGGCAAGGTTAGATGTGTAGTATTTTTCTACACATGGCCTTAAGGTAGATTTCCGTCTTCCCTCTCTGTACTCTGATGCTTCTTCGATGGCGGTCAACGTATTCTCCCGTCCACCGCTCTCTCCAAATCAAAATGTCAAAATCTTTTCGGAAAATTTTTAGTGATGCAATAATTATTCAAAAAGTTTCTAGAAAATAAGAAAGTGAATGTATAATCAAAGGTATATAGTCGTAGTTATTTATTCTAAATCACAAAAACAATCAAAGATGCATGAATTTGAGTGTAATTAGAATCATGAACAAACTAAACAAAACTTGACTTTTGGGCTAACTTGTTGATTTTGTTACAAACTTTTGTGAAGATTCTGAGACACAAACAATCTTTCTCGACCAAACATCTAAGAACAAGATTCTTCTTCCTAGGTTTACGTTGGTTTTCTTAGTAAAGCATGGAATACTTGCCTCTTCAAACCCAACTAAAACTAGTTCGTTCATGTAATTTCCTCTCGTTCTCCTTTAAAAATTCAAACAATGATTATCTCTTTGATCACCACACTATGAAATTTGGGACATCGAACAAAAGATCAGATGTGACTGACAGACTATGAAATGCAAGATGAGTGTGTGAGAAGACAATGGAAAACTACCGTAAACTGCATGTATAACCAAACAATTAGCACAAGTATTGCTTCATAAATTCCTATTGGTTAGTTGACATGCTCGAAAAGTTTATAAAATATAATATTTCTTTAGCACTTAAAGTTGAAAGATTATTATGAATTTAGGAGTTGTTTTGGATTAACAAGCTAGGAATAATCTTTTAAAGATATATTTTTACTAAGCTATGGTAAGAAAATGTGTGTTTTTGAAAAGATATATATATATATATATATAAATGTTTTCCAATCTTAAAATTGTCTTTTAAAAAGGGGTTTTTTATTCCCATTTCATGAAATAAAAGCTCTGGAAACCTCCATTAATGGCAGTTCAAAACCTTCCATTTGACACACAAATGACGTTGTTATGGGCCAAAATTAATAATTAGAACACTTTAAAATAATGTATTAGTTATCCTAAGATATAAGTGGGAGCCATGCTGGTCTAATGAGCATTAGCCTTGGTGCTTGTGGCCAATTATCCACCATTCCCCCTTATCAACCTATGCCATTTGTTCAACTATCAAGACATTCAAACGTCTCAAAGTCTCTCAAATGCCACACACTTCACGCATCCTTCTTATGAGAAAAAAGTGTTTGGTACTGACTCAATCTACCCAACATTGCCATTTCCATTTTCTTTTTATAAAGGTTCGTGTGAGATTCTATATCGATTGAGGAAGAGAACGAAACATTCTTTATAAAAGTGTGAAAATCTCCTCCTATCAAACGCGTTTTAAAACCTTGAGGGGAACCTCGGAAGGGAAAGCTCGAAGAGGACAATATCTACTAGTAGTGAGCTTGGGCTGTTACAAATGGTATCTTGAAAGGAGGTGGACAGGCTGAGTGCCAACAAGGATGCGGGCCTCGAAGGGGAGTAGATTGTGGGATCCTATATCGGTCGGGGCGGAGAACGAAGAAACATTCTTTATAAGGGTGTGAAATGTGTGAATTCCTCTCTCTAACAAACACATTTTACAACCTTGAAGAGAAACCCAGAAAGCTCAAACACGTTTTACAACCTTGAAGAGAAACCCAAAAGGGAAAGCTCAAAGATACAACCTTGAAGAGAAACCCAAAAGGGAAAGCTCAAAGATACAACCTTGAAGAGAAACCCAAAAGGGAAAGCTCAAAGATACAACCTTGAAGAGAAATCCAAAAGGGAAAGCTCAAAGAGAACAATATCTGCTAGCCATGAACTTGGAGCGTTAGAGTTAGAGTGCTCGAATTTGAATAATGGGTCTCTCTATATCTTTAGTCCACGTTATCAAGAGTAACGTGGTTCTTACTTCCATTCTAAAAAAAGAAAAGAATTCCCACTTCTAATCATTGAGATAATACAACATTAAAAATTTGATAATTAGAGATGAACCATGACTCGAGAAAAGTTATTGATGTCTTAACTGTGCGAAACTCGCAAAAAGTTGGAAAGATGGAGAAGCTGAGAAAGTTTGTATTTTTTTTTTGGTAAGGAAAAAAAAAAAAAAAGGAATTAGGCTGCTTCCCTCCTAGCTTGGTTCCTTTTGGTCCCACGAGTTTTCAACTTTATATTCCTCGACCCTTTCAAAAACTTGATGAAAGCATATAGGTCGGTAAGTCAGCCATTTCCGGTGGCAGTCATTAAATCTCCGGCGAACCTGGCCGCTGTGCTCTCTCAAGTGGAGAAAGCATAGGATATTTTAGAATGTGCTGTCGAGAATCAGTACGAAGCACATCAATCCAACTCCCCCTTTTCATCCATAAATAATGTCAGCATGCTCTTTCATTCAACACTCACAACAACCTTTCCTTCTTCTTCTTCTTCTTCTTCTTCTTCAACATCATCCCTTCTCTTCCCTCTCTCAGACTCTGCTCTGCTACCTACAGAGAGTAACAACAACAACAATATGGTCAAATTCTCTAAGCAGTTTGAGGGACAATTGATCCCTGAATGGAAACATGCTTTTGTTGATTATTGCCAACTAAAGAATGACCTCAAGAAACTCTATCTTCTTAAAACTGATAACAAGCCCGACTCTACCGCCGCCACCGGCACGGTTGCGAGGACCGTCTTGTCTTCTATAAAGAATTTCTCTATATTTGGTCACCAACTCAGAGATCATGGACCTATTCATGTACTCTTTTTCTGTCAACTTCCCACAGTCTTCCCCCCCCCCCCCCCCCCCCCCCCCCCCCCCCC